GTATTGAGCACGACTCTCACTCCTTTCAATGTTCTCACTCTCTCCGTCGCTGTATATCCTCAACCTCTAGTTGCAACCGATCAGCATGGTCAGCAAGAGCCTCATTCTCCTCCTCGCGTACAATGAGAAGTTGATCGCGCTGCTCGAGCTCACGACGAAGTTCCTCATTCTCCACGCAGATCCTCGATTTTGCGTGCATATCTGAGATCTACAGAGTCGTCCCCGTTGCGCTCGATGATAACCTGGGTCTTCCTCAACTCCCTGATCTCATGCTCGCGCTCCTCGAGCTGCATCTCAAGATCGCGTTCCCGCTCATGTAGCTGTGTCTCCAAATCGCGTTCGCGCTCGTGCAGCCGCGACTCCAGATCATGGTCGCGCGTTGACCACGCTGAAGACGCTCTAACTCGCGCTCGAGCTCCAAGACGAGTTTCTTGAGTTTCTTGATCTCAAGACCACGTTGCTGGACCTCGATCTTGAGATTGATGTTCTGTTTGAGAGCAGCATCGATCTGGTCTGGTGCAAGCTGGGCAAGACGCTCCTCGAGGAAATGAACGCGTAGTTTGATGTTAAAGTTTTCTTTTTTGAGAGAGTCGATGTGCTGTTATGTAGGTTGGTTTAGATAGAGCTGGGCGGCGGGGTTTGGCTTACCTTTTCTTGGTCTCTTAAAGATAAAGCAGCGCCTTTCCCTCCTGGTGCGCTTTGTCTTGGACGTCGTGCGCGCGGAAGAGGTGTGTCTGGGCCATCACCATTGCTGGGAGCGGGTGATGATATTGACGGGACACGGAGTGGTCTGCCGGGTGTACTTGGACCTGATACGAATGACCCGAGTGACAGATCCGGGTGAGTACCAGCAGAGATGTCTGCACCGTTTGGAACGGAAGACATGCAAGTTGGGAGCACAGGGAGAGAGCTTAATTACTAAGCAACGACCATTTGTCCTTTATAGAAAGACCAAGTTCCTGGGCTACGTACATAGACTATCTCTCTGTCCCGGATATACCACCCTCAAATTCTCTTTCAATCAATCAGTACTCAGTACTTATTATCTCGCTCAGTAGCATCGACTGCGGTTGAACGTGCCTTCTCGCAGGACCGGCAGCTCCTTCACTTTACTCGCAACCGACTCGCACGGTCAACAATTCGTGCCTTTCTCTACCTCGGAGCCTGGAACAGAAGTGGTCTTCCGACCATATAGGACCTTCTAGTCTCTGAACGAAGTCGAAGTCGAGGAGGACAACAAGGAAAAGTAGTGATATTTATTAGATTGTTGTTAATACACTCTTGACAATCTACCCGCGGTGTTTCCCAAAAGCCGTAAGATTGACGGGTTGGTGCACGTATGTACCTGTACCTGTGGAGGGTATGGTGCATGTACAGTCTCAACTTTCCGATACCTTCGGGATCACCCCATGCTGCTCAAGGAGCGTTTCCAACTCTCCCGATTGAAACACTTTGAAAATTTGAGTTTGAAATATATGCGGCAATGCGACCTCGACTCACTGCTTAAAGCAATGTCGCTCCCACCTACAAATTCCCCATTCACATACAGTTGTGGGATGGTTGGCCATTCCCTGCGAGAGAAGCGCCTGAGGCTCGGTGACAATGTCAAATGAAGCATAACTTACGAGAATTCTTTAATTCCGGTCCTCAGCTCCAAATCCTCGAGGACATTATATGTCTTGAACTTTTCAGGTGGAATGTCGAAAGCGCTGAGGATCTTCACGACCCCTCGTGAAAAACCGCACATAGGCTGCTCTGGGTTGCCCTTCATAAACAGTACCACAGGGTATTCGGTCACTGCAGACTGTATTTTTGCGCGAGACTCTTGCGATAGAAATCGACGGAACGTTTGTGACCTTAGACAGCTGGAAACAGTGCTCCTGTGGAGTGAAAGCTGACGAAAAGGTTATAATGCACGGAGTGAGTACGACTAATGGAAAGACATACAGATGTACGAAGTGCGCTTTGGAACATATTGGGAGCGAGATGATGACTGCTGTTGGCTCGACGCGCAAAACAGGTGGAAGTTCAAGTCACTGGTAATTCTGAATAATCATGTATACCGGAAATTTGAAAGTACCGTAGGCTTGGCTTAATTTGGCTATCCAAAAACGTTCTCGGCATTCTTCCAGATTTTACCGCAACTTCAATTTTCGCTACCAAGTAGCCTGCTCGTCGTTGTTAGTCGTGTTGGACTAACAATCACTGACAACTTCTGCCTCAAGTGGAGGCAGTTCTGGTTCAAGAAGCTTGTACCTTCTTCCTTGTTCACTCGTTTATATGAATTCTTTCGTGCGTTGCCCACCTCAGGCATCCTGGTAGTGAGTACCATACCTCACCCCTCAGGCCACAGGAATATAAAAGCGCTCTCTTTCCTTGCGTCAACATCGACTTGCCGCCTTTCGCATCTCTACCATCGTTGGTTTTCTCCTGTGCCCTGCCGCTGTGCTCACTCCGTCTTTTTATCTCGCCGCTCCGTGTATCTATCTTCGCTCGAGTCCTAGCACTTCGTGATATGGTCATTGTAATGCCATGCTCTGCACCCACAGGCCCACGTTCTCAATATGAGGTACCATGCACGACGTTCAACAAAGTGTGTCCACGGACCCAAAACCCAGACGGCGTTGTAGTCCATCCTCCAGCACACCTTCTCCACCCCCAAACCTAAACGGCTTGTTCATCATCGAAGTCCTTGCAGTCCCACAACTAACCTGGACTCCAGATCCCCTCATGCTCGTCAGAAACCTCTCTTCCGAGCCACTGCATGCCCTTCTGCAGTCTCCTTAACAGCTCATGCCCGTGTCTCTCTGGGCACGCTCTCCGACCTCATCGATATCAACAATGATGTCAATGTCTGGTCAGGTGATTTTTACGCTTGTGATAATGCGAAGGGTTTTGCACTTTGTGGGGTGGTTGGCAGGCGTCGCCCTCGATAGGTACCTATTCATATCTCCGCAAGCTTGATTCTAACAGATTTTGACGTCGGGTGGGAGTTCGGGTAACAAGTAGTGAGTTTGGCTCGGCCGAAAATCATTTCCTATTTGGGGCACTAACTACCCGCGGAATCCGGATACCCGACTTTAGCGGGCCCTCTAGAGTCTGACCCGTACCCGTGCGGGTGGAACCATCCAAGGTACCCGCCATCTGTACCATCCGTCCCACGTTCCGTCGCGCGGGTGGATATCCGGGTAGCGCCTACCCGTGTCACATCGCCGAGGTGTCGGTACCTTCTTTCAGAAGATGTTTGTTGTTCCTTGCAATATTCCATGTTCACAGTTCACAGGATGTGTTGGAAAGACACCTGCGACGATTACTGATAGGTTCGTCAAGGCCAGACGCACAGAAAATGCATGGTAGAGACTAGGTCCTGAGTTCCGGTACTTCATGTAATATTCTCCATGTATCCTGTCTCGTGTCTCATGTACTATCCGTGCCTTGATTTACACTTAGGAAAAACACTAATTGTATACCTTTCCATCATCATCGCTCTCAGCTTCGCGACCTCAACCCGGGGAATGACATCGATTTCAAATGGCGCTGCATGGGGAATGACCGCATCACTGAAAGCGTGCGTGTTGATCGGTGCGTCAGGTCGTTGAACAATGCGGAAAGACCACAAGAGGAGTGCGAGGGTAATGTACAGCGATTGGTTTGCGAGGTGCAGGCCAGGACATACACTTTTAATGACAAATGAACGAACTTCGTTAATCGGTGTCAGGAAACCGACGTCGGCACGACTTACCGTCTACCAAAGCCATACGTGATGAACTTCATATTATTGTCCTTAAGGCGACCTTCTGAATCAAGCCAGCGCTGGGGGTTGAATATTTCAGGATCTGGGAAGACGATAGGATCGCGAGAAAGAGTCCTGAAAACACGCGCTTAACGGAGCAACATGATACCAAGTGAAGAAACATCATACCAATGGCAACCATAGACTGTTGCACCCTCGGGAATGTAGTATCCTCGCTGATTGCACAGACTAGAATGAGAACGTGGGTTACGGCAAATGAAAACACTGACCCAAAAAATATCCTTGGTTGCACGGTGGGGAAATCCTGGGACACATGTCAGCATCGTGGAGGAGCGTGCTGAAATTCGATTTTACCTATGCGAACGATAGGTCGCCATCTCAAAGCTTCCAACAAGAATGCTGCAATTGAGGGAGCGAGCTTGAGTCATTAAATGTCGGCACTACAACGCAAGATTAATTGAGAAATCAAAATCTTTGTACCCCTCTGGTTTGGCATTACCTCTGTCTGACCCGATGACCATATCGAGCTCTTCATGCACCTTTGCCTGAGCCAGCGGGTGGCACGCCGCAGCCATAACAGTGGCGGTAATTCCAACAGCGGTCTGAACCAGGAGTGAGTTTGTGTAGATAAATAAGTTACATAGCTTACCGTATCAGATCCCGCCCCAAAGAGTGATCCGGCGAGATACGACATCTCATCTGTAGAGAGTTGGTGTTCTTCAGTGTTCTCCAATAGTGTTTTGATGAAAGAGGGGCCAGCTTTGTTTTGATCCTGCATACAACAAGATATAAGTGACATACGTTTGTCGAACGGAAAGCTCCTTACGACTTCACTCTTGACGCGCCCTAGCTGATGCCTAAATAACTCAAGTTCCTCACGATGCCACTCATCGAGTTGTTTTCTGTAACCAGGCAAGTAGCGCAAAAGGGGCATACGATCGACGAGATAAGCTCCTGGGAGGATCGTGGCATGAAAGTGCTCAACGACTTTGTGGATACGGACAACTTCGGGATCGGCGTTGGCAGTGGGCGCGGACTTCCCATAAGCCACCCGAAGAAATGACTGATGCTGCATACCTTGAGGTACCATATCCATGAAAGGGTCACAAAAGGCCTGGTAGTGACGTACCGCTGTGCGTGCTTCTGGTGGTTCATCGGGTCATTCAGCACATCCAATATAAAATCCATCGCGTTCTCGCGCTGCATGTCTTTGTATGCCTCTGCCGCCTTTGGCTGTAAATGAGGGTGTACTGCTTTCCGGAGGCGCCGGAAGCGTTCTCCGGAACGAGCCATGGTGATACGCATTCCATTTGAGAGCATCTCACCCGCGGCAATGGACCGAGGTCGATCTGCCAGTGATGCACCTTCTTTCTCCATGATGTCTGCGGCTGCCTGGTAAATGGGTCATTATCGGAGGAAGCTCAAGGTAAGGGCAGATTACCTCCATGGTGCCAATGACAATTATTACTTGGCTACCTTGGCGGAACGACACAATTGGCCCATATTCTCGAACCAAGTTGGTCAACGTATAGACAATGCTGAGTGAACGATCTACATCAACCTCTAATTTCTTGTGTGTAACACTGCCAAAACTCACTTCACAGCAGGTAAAGCGTTGCTCCAGAACCAATGTGCGGGAGGTCCAGGTGGAAGCGGGATGCCTTTCCTGCTCGATAACGATTTTTTTTGTATAGCACGAAGAGTACCGCTACAACTGCGACGACGCCAGCGGCATAGTTAGCACTCCTGGTGAGAGCTTCCAGCATCATGTAATGCGGGATAGAAGTGAAACTCCAATGTCTGAATCGACGTGGAACGTGGGTCTGATAAGCAGTGCGTGTTCAACATCTTATAGTGTCTGGCACTCGGCCTGTTATCCGACATCCAATCGAGATGCACCACTGCGATGATATGGCGCGTAATGAGAATAGGAAGGGAAGTAAACGCTGATCGGCTAGCTTACCGTATGGCAATCTCGATGGCGCACTCACCGCCATTTCAGCTGTCTCTGGAACAAGTATTAGCCAACATAACAATAATCCGGTGAGATGATCAAGCCAATCCTGACAATCGCTACGCTTCTAGGAGAATCGATCAAGCTGTTCATCTGCAACTGCTATTACCACGTGTTGGTAAACATTCCAAATTACGGACAAGGATATGTGTAAGGAAGAGGAGTTCGCTTGATCATTACAAGCGATGTGCTCCTCGGGTAAGTCAGCCACTGAGGCGGAGTAATCTTCAGCCATGGAGTCTCCGGGGCGTGAGAGCGTCACTTACACTAACAAACCAGGGTTCGGCGATGCCGATTTTCACCTTGCTTGCCTGCACCATATTGCGATGATATTATTCATGGTAAGCTGAGGGCATCATCGAGTTCCATAGACTTCGACGTGGATATATGTCAGTGGATGTGACGGTTCAGAATTGAAATCGTTGTTATTTAATGACATTTGTGTATATTTGGCCAGGTTAGTGCCAGTCGCCGTTAGATTTCGAGGGGTGGCATATGACCTTGCAAGCAATGTGGCTACAGTGCCTGACCTGAAGCCAAATCAAAGACTTGTTGGGCTACAAATTGGTCAGGACTTCTAATGTGAAAAATAATGGTGCTTCAATATACTAGGAAATATCCAATGAGTCCGTCTTATTTTTGTAATCAAGGAAGCTGCGTGCGTTGTTTATGATTGCTCGAGCATTTAACGGACGTAAGAGGGCACGCGTTTCCTGATCGTAACATCAAATCAGACAGTATTTCACTAAACCCCTTGTAGATGCTCTATTTTTCAAATACCTCCGAATCTTCAAACAAATCGCCGACCTGAATGCGCCATCTCGTGTGCAATATTGTCTCGAGAAATATCGAATCAACCCCTGCTGGTAAATCCACCTACTCCCGGGCCATGTGCACCTTGTGACAGGTAGCACATCCCTACACCGTGCCCGTACCCCATGGCCCCCATACCTATACTAGATGGTACTATCAGGGAGAGTGTTGGACACGACCGTCGTGTGAATGAACCTGTCATGATGATCGACGGATTGACTCGAACGGTCTGGCGTTTGAAACTTCGCGCAGAGATGAGTTAACAGAGGTGGCATCTCTCCGGTTGGACCCCGTACGCTTCCGACGGGTCATTAAAAAAGTGGGACTTGACACAAATGAGCTCCACTCCCCCACTGTGGTCGATGGTTTGACAAGGTGAAGTGGTTTTCTACCAACCGCAAGTCCGCCATGCATGGCGACGTCAGGGATCAGCGCTAGTTTGAGCCTGAAAGTACTGTATTGAACATATAAACTTATCACAAAAAGGATGACTCCGAAATCAAATGATCGTTACCGACAGTTACCAACGACGAATCTTCAGCATGGCATCAGTGATTCATGTGCACGAGTCCTTGACGAGTCTTGACATTGTACCATGGAAGCTATAGAACAATTGTGCTGCCGGAGCAGTTGGTAGGATTGTGACAGTGCTACTGGTCACTGCAGACTTCAATGCACTCTTCATCTCCCTTTGTGGAACTGTCACTCAAATCCTGGATATCTGCTCCTCCCCTGATGTCCTCCACAGGCATCGCTCGCTTGCCTCCAAGGAACACGCGTCCACCAGGCGCGTCCTCCAAAGACCTCACTATCACATCCTCCTCAAACAAATACTTGATGTCCTCCAACGCATACCCCTTCGTTTCTGGCAAGAAGAGATACGTCCACGCTGCCATGATCATGCAGCACACGCCAAAGAGCAGGAATGTCCCATACTGATCTTCTCCAGCATCACCGGCGTCAGGCGTGATATCGTGAATGAGAATAACCAGTTGATACTGACCGCAACTGTGAGTGTGGCTGGGCGGACATGATTTGGGGCAACTTCGCTGGCCGCGACCCACGGCAGAGGCCCCCAGCCGATACAGAAAAATACTGCGTAGAGATAGACGGCGATGATTGACACGTAACTCGCAGGTACAATAGTGCTCTGGGGGTGGATGGCGCCGAAGCCGCCAATCCAGAGCA